AAGAATCAGACATGGGAGATTGTGGACCTACCAGATGGCAAGGAGACAGTTGGATGCAGATGGGTTTACACAGTAAAGTATAAGGCAGATGGAAGTATAGAGAGGTACAAGGCAAGACTTGTTGCAAAATGATGCACACAGACCTATGGCATTGATTATCTAAAGACATTTGCGCCAGTTGCAAAGATGACCTCTGTTCGGATACTCCTTTCCCCTGCTGCCTCATACTCTTGGCCCTTGTTTCAACTAGATGTAAAGAATGCGTTCCTAAATGGGGATCTGCAAGAAGAGGTGTATATGGATCTTCCAGCTGGTTTTTGTGATAATGCTGAAAAGGGAAAGGTGTGCAAACTGAAGAAGTCACTATATGGCTTGAAACAATCTCCTAGAGCATGGTTTGACAGATTCAGAAAGGCCCTGATTGTTTTTGGCTACACTCAAACTCAATCTGATCACACCTTGTTTGTGAAACGCAGGGGATCTTTGGTGTTAATCCTAATTGTTTATGTGGATGACATTGTTGTCACTGGGAATGATCTAAGTGAGATTGATAGTCTAAAGAGGAACCTGCATAAGGAATTTGAGATTAACGATCTTGGAGAACTAAGATACTTCTTAGGCATTGAAGTTGCAAGATCAAAACATGGAACTTTTATCTCTCAAAGGAAGTATGTCTTGCACCTTCTCCAAGAACAGGGAAGCTTGGAACAAAGGCAGCTAGCACCCCCATTGATCAGAACCATAGAATCAGTGCATCAGAAGGTGAACCAGTGAAGGACCTTGGGAGATACCAAAGACTTGTGAGTCGGCTACTATACTTGTGTATGACAAGTATGGTTGTCGAAGTGACATTTCAAAGGAAGTATGTCTTCATCGCTTGTGACATTTCAAAGCTCAACTTTGCATCAATTATGGTTGTCGGAGTGAAGCCGGAGGAAGTTCCTCGAGCACTTGAAGTTTTCTCAGATGGGGTTTGGACAAAGGTGTGGGTTGCAACAAAACACGAAGTAGCGCTATGGGAGGAAGGTCGAGAGGTGGAAAATGAAGCGATTGTGGCTAGATAGAGATCATGTGGAAGCAAAGGATTGGAAGGTCTATTGGCAAAAGGTTCCATCCTGGAAGAAGAAAGGTTGCGGACGACAACGCATTTTAACTGCATTTTGGAAAAAGCAAATAATTTTTTTGGCCTTGGAAGGGTGGAGAGTAAGCTCCAGATGCGAAAGGTCATCGAGAATTCGAATCCAATTGTTAGAGTAGATCCGAATGGCTTAGGAGATAAGGTTGATGAAGAGAGTGGGTTAGGTATCCAAGGCATTGGCTCTGAACTAGGTGGAACTCAGATGGAAACCCGTCAAATTTTCCCGATCAGTTTGCTTATAAAGGAGATGTTCGAGAGATTAAAGGTTCTAAAAACATTGAGCTCAACAACACTCGGCTGCAATTCAGGACCTCGCCCGAATGACTCCTCTCACTGACTCACTCTTTAGGCACATCGAGAGATGATCAAATCTTCAAAGCTACCTTAGGCAAGGGAAAGAAGGAAAATCGCTTCAGGAATAGGATCGTTGGTTTGAGACAATCTTTAGGGCTTATCAAGCCAATGCTGAAAAGAAACAAAGCAACAAAGAGGACTACAGTGGAGGCCAAAAAAAGAAACGAAAAAAGGTAGATTTGGTTAATAGCCATGTTTGACAAAAGTGGAAAAAAGAGGATTTTACATGGCTCCAGAAAGTTGCTTGAAAACGATACATCTATTGGGTTTGGCAATGATGGTAGATGTGCTATGGTTTGTAGGGAGTCTGATGGGAGATATGTTTCCCCAGATTTTAGGGGATTAAGCAAAACACTACTTGAGTGTAGCGCTGATTCAAGAAGACCTGCTTTGCTACACTCGGAGGATATGATTTCCTTTGAATCAGTGAGGATGGAAGGGGTGTGGAAAAGACTCCGGAAATAATAGGAAGCTTCGATGTTGAAATGGAAACTGAGGGCGAGGTTGTGGGAAAGGAAATCTCTTGCGGTGATGAGTTCATTAAAGGACATGTTGAAAGGCAAGTTGAAAAAGGTTTGGATAGAGAAGGTTTGCATTATGAAGAGGTTGAGGTTGGAAGGTTGGGTGTAGATTTGGGTCGAAGGGTTAATCATGAAGAGGAAGAGTAGAATAATGGGATAATCAACAAGAAGCTACGCAATTTGAGATCTCGCGACATTGTTCATGTAACAAAGATCTTTTCAAGGCTAAAAATTGGCTTGGAAGGGGCAGGACCTACAAAAAAATTCAAATGGGAATATAGAAGAAAAAGGTGGAGAGGCAAATGAACTTCTAGCACTGACCATAAAGGAGTGGCTGCACCAATTCAGGCACCAGATACCTTTATGTTAGAGAAACATCAGGAAATCAAGATGAGTGGCGATGGCTCTGATTCTACTATGACCAACATAACGAAGAATTCTGACGTAGTTGTTGAAAATTCAAAAGGAGTGAAGCTACAAAATCTAGTCGACAGAGAAGTTACAATCAGGAAAAGTTTGGGACTATTCTTCTTGGGCGGTGAAGGATTTGCTAGGAAAGCATTTGAGGAATTTGAAAGAAAAAAAAGGAAGAGAAAGATAAAAACAAAGCTCAGTCGCAACAGAGAAGGGAATGGGATGAGGATTTCTCAAACCAAGAAGATGAATTCACTGATGTAGGCTTTAGGATAGGGTCCTTTGTGTCTTGTTAGGGGCAGGCTAGAGGCCTTTTTCTTTGGTTTTATTATGGGTTTATGTTTTCCTTTTATGTTGGGTGAATGGGCATTGATTATGGTTGTAAGTTGTGACTGTATTGGCTTTTTGGGCATGACTTTCCTGATTACGATGATGTCTTATCACCTTCTGTTGTATTTCTTTTTTCTTTTTAATGAATTTTTTTTGAACTTCAGAAAAAACCCTAATATGTGCCTCACCTACACACACCTGAGGTATGCCTTTTAAATCATTGCCCCAGGTAATTTATAGGCCACAGAGAGACCAAACAACCTAAAACTTCTGCATTTTCTACAATCTCTCTTTCCTCCATATTCAACCCCATCATGAAACTCTTGTCAAAATTAATTTTCAGATTGGACATTCTTTCAAAGACTTGTACACCAGCTTTAAATTCCTTATCCAACTAACCTCACCCCCTTCACAAAACAGGATTGTATCATCAACAAACTGTAAATGAGTAATCAGTACCCTCTTATCTCCCCACCCTCCATCCAACTTCTATAATCAGCCCTTTCTATGAGTCGCTCAAACACATCAGCAAAGTGAACAGAAAGGGGGAAGTGGGTCCCCTTGTCTAATTCCCCTAATGGCTGGGAAATGGTCTACCACCATCCTATTTACCAATATTGAATAGTGACAAGTCCTAACACGTCCCATTATCCATTTACACCATCTTCCACCAAACACAAAATTCTCCATCACATCATTCAAAAAACCCCAATCAACCAAATCATAAGCCTTTTCCAGATCCAACTTGCAGACAAAGCCTTTCTTCTTAGCTTTTTTCAAATACTCAACACTTTCATTAGCAAGTAATATTTGATCAATAATTTGCCTACCTTTACAAAAGCCCCCTACGACTGAGAAATTATGGAGGGGAGAACTACCCGGATCCTTCGTGAATGCACCTTATCAATGACTTTATAAAGGCAATTAACCAGCTGATCGGTCTAAAATCTTTGGGATGCAAGGCCCCATCTTTTTATGGAATCAATGCAATGAAGATTGAGACTGTCTAGTTACTCCTTCCTGCTAGAGTCAACTAAAGCATTTGCACACTACAGAAATCCAGGAGAAAGCTGCTCCAATAGTGACATCCAGGTGTCTAGCTTCCCAGATTCGGTGTAAACTCTAGGGACCAGCACTTCCATCTTTCCGCCAACTAATGATTGTTTTCGAACCCCTTCCATAATGAGATACCCATACCTTCGATGTTTTTATCAATAATAAGTTTTCATTTATTGAAAAGTATACATTTTGTATCCACAAGGCAAATATATCTTTATGCCACATATATAGAAGCAGCCTATTGCTGCTCTCTCCACCTTCCAGATATAGCTTTGATTTAGAAACAAAACTAACTCCTGAGGGTAGCCCCCATACCAACTAATGTCTGCTTACTCTTTGTCAAACTGGAGAGTCAACAATGGAATTAGAAAACTGGAGAAATCCAGTTAAAAGTTGCTTCCCTGTTGCTTGTCAGGTGCCTTGCTTCCCTAATGCAGTGCCTCAAGTGCCATGGTCCTTCCCCTTCTCATACTATGGATGCATCTCCAAGACCCCAACAGCATAGCATGTTTTCTGTTAAATCATAATTCAATTTTTTATTCAATGATGCATTTGGCTTAAAAACCCAGAACTATTAAACTTCTCATTGATTTACTAAGAGCCCTAACCTTGTAATGAAATACCAGAAACTACACCAATCACATGAGGAATATGTGAAGGTGGGTAAGATACAAGTGGAAACAAGCATGTACAAGAATGATTGATTGAATGTTTGTTATCTGTTTTCATTATTTCTTGTATTTCCATCAAAGGATAAAATTGCATTCTATTATGGACCTTATTACTGGTAACAAAACACAATTCTATTAATATGATTAAAGTGAAGATATATAAAAAGTTAACACAATGTTGTACTTAAAACAAAAGATTTTACTTATGGCAAATGCAATGTGACACATCATGCTCAATTAAGACCTACAACTCAAGAAATTATATTCTTAGGTGGAAGCTCAGTTCCAGAAATTTATGTAAGACCTTGAAATATGAAATCATATAACAGAAAGGTAAAAGGTCTCAGACTTGCATAGAGAGAACTAGTACGTGTAGGTAATGTAGGATGATGCACAAGCATATTTTGATTAAAATGCAGTTGTTGGACATTATTTAGAGGTTTTCAATCATATACCTACTTACAGTCACAAAACAAACCATAAAAATGGATAGCATATAAAATTTAAGGATACCTTAAGCTGCCCAGAATCATTTACAAGGAAGTTCATAGGTAAAGTGACATCCAAGACTTGTGAAACCAGTGGATCATCTGTATCTCTTGATTCATTCTTTTTCTTAAAAGCTTTACAGTTTCCATATATTGCTTTTGTAATAACTAGGCCACCTGTTTCCTGTTGCTTATTTCTCTTCCTGTTGGCAACATTTTGTAATAACTTCTGAGCTTTCTCAGCTGCTGCCCTTGCCTGTTGCACCTGCACAAAACAAGGGAAAAACAAAATAAAAAACCCAGATATTTTCAACTGAGTCAAAGATGCAACTTTTGTACATCCAAAACCTTCTACAAAACTTGGGATAAAAGAACTGACACTCCCAAACCTTGTTCAGCTGCAGACAATAAATCCTAGCCCGGATAAAGATTGCACTACTCAAAGCTTACTCAATCCTCTTTTTTACTTTGAGCTAAGACTTCTTGCTCATCAGCCTGTCTATGAGGATAGGTTAATTCTATAACATGCCACATCCCACCTTAAAACAGGTTTGTTATGCCCTTGATAGGGTTAGGATTGGTTTGGGTTGCAAATGGTACCGTGTTACAGTTTATGGTAGTATCCTTTCCAAAAATGCAATGTTATATGGGTTTCAAAAGTTACCATCCTTTCTTCACATGGAAAAATATGCAATAATGTCAAACGTGAATCTCAGATTATGTTTTATCAGGTCTAGAAAAGGACCCATTAAAAATTGGTCATTAGAATTGCATTCACTAGGCCAGCTATTTGTATGGAGCAGAGTGTTGGGCAGTAACAGTGTTTTAAAAGTGCAAGGCACAAAAAAAGCGTAGGGGCCAATTTGGAGCCGAGGTGCAAGGCAAGGCACACACCTTTTGAAGCAAGGCACAAAAAATACAAAAAAATGATAAAAAAAATAAAAAAAATGTAAGAAAAATAAAAAAATCTTAAACATAATATTAATAAAAAATTTAAAAAAATGTTTAAGAAAACATATTATCTAAAATTAAAATACATAAAATAAAACATGTAAAGTGTATTCAAATGAAAATTTAAAAATAAAATCAAACATTTTCAAGCATGTAAAAGCCAAAATCTCTTTCTCTTCTTTTTTTGTGTGAGAACTAAGGATTTAAGACCCTATCATGGACTTGTTTGGGCTTGCCTCAAGGGACATGGTACAGGGGTCCGAGGGTGGAGTCCCCGGCCCAGCCACTAGGATAAAAATAAAAAAGCAAAAAAGCATGAAATTTTCAAAAGGTGCACACTTGGGCTGAGGTGCAAAGCGCATCAGGTGTATGCCTTTTTGAAAGGGCTACGCCTAGGACCTAGGCGAGGCGCATACCCTAAAATGCGCCTCGCTTGTGCACCTAGGTGCACCTTTTAAATCACCAGGCAGTAAGAAACAATATGTCAAAAAAATGAGTATGGCAGAAATTCATATGCTCAGATGCATGAATGGAAAAACTAGAAGCAATAGGATCAGAAATGAATCATTTGATGGAACGTAGGAGTATATTCAATAGAAGATAAAACAAGATAAAGTAGAAGACCATCAATAGCAGCTGTATGAAGTGATTTGTTGCAAGCTGAGGGGGCCAAAAGGGCATGGATAGACATTAGAAATGATCTAACCACCAATAATTTAACAATGGATATGGCATTATACAAAACAGAATGGAAAAACAGGATAAACAATGGATATGGCATGATGATGATGATGGTGATAAGGATGATGAGAATTGCATTTAATAAAAAGCATATACTCTAAGGACAAAGAGATATAAATACCTCCTTGAGAAAATAAAATATAGTCATAACAGAACCAGGACTTTGAGAACAACTTCACAGGGTTTATTCCCCCGCCCTTCATTTCCTATGGTGGGTAACAACCAAAACCTTACTAATAATGGGTATGATAAAAGAATAAACAAAAGAGGAGGGGGAAAACCACCTCCCTGATACAAAAAAAAAAAAACTGTTTTAGGAGTAATTAGCAACTGTCAAGGTTCCATCATAGCTATGTTTTTGAAAATAATAGGTACTGAAAACCCTATAATAGCTGAACTTGTAGTGATTTTACAAGGTCTAATATTGGGAAGGCTATTGAATATTAGATCTCTGATGGTGGAAGGGGACTCTAAAGTTGTTGCCAGTTGGCCTAACAGGACTATGTTGAGAGAGATAAGAGCAATTGCAACAGAACCAGAGTCCACTTTTTTCCTGGATCCATAGATCAGCAAATGATCTTACTGATACCCTGGCAAAGAACGGAGTCAATGGCACTAAGCTCTTCCAAGGGCATAATTGAAGTGTATCTGTGTATGTAAAAGTAAAAAAAAAAAAATGCAAAAGACTATTTACATAGGTGATAAGTGTCAACCTAGAAGGGGCTGTGCAGCAGAAACTTTTAACAGTTACCAATTAAAAAAAATACAAAAGACTGTTTACAAAGTAGTGGCATAAAGAAATATGTGCATTGAACCACACAAGTTGTATTAGTGATACAAGAAAGAATTATATGCATTGAACCACAAACAAAACATCACAACACTAATCTTGTTAACTACAACCCTATAGTAACATCCATTGACAGAAAGCAAGTCTCATGTTGCTATGTTATTGCATTTCTCCTTCATAAACCTCGTACTTGCAAATCAAAAGCCAAAAGCAGTAATCACATTCTTCAAGAAACAGAATGTAATTGCACAGATTGACTCAGATAAACAACAAATATCCCATACCTGAGCTGAAGATTTTTCCATCTTCTCCAATGCCTTTTGCTTTTGCCGTTTAAGGTAATAAGGCTTAACCACAAATATCTGCAAGCACATGCAACTGAAATAGAATAAGCACATTACATATTAAATGGGCATTGCCCAATCAAAGAAAATGGGAATCAAATTTGAATTCTGGAGGACCACCCTTCCAAGTCAGAATTGTTTAGAGTTGAAAAAGGCAAAGAGAAAGAAGCAAATCTCCCATTTAACTAAATACTGAAAAGAAATACTCTTGTTATTTCCAAAACCAGGAAAGGCAGCACCAGAGAAAGACAATCCAAATGGTGGACGGTATTATAACAAAGACACTTCAAATCTAATGGCTTATAGAACGAACCTTCCATGATGTTTTCTCTTGGATTGAGCCAATCATGAGTAGTTCTATTTAACCAATATTCGTGTTAAAGTTTGTCCTTCATGTGGACCAGAACGGAAAAGGAACAACAGCTTTTTATCCATAAAATGCAACAAAATAGGCAATAGCCTAGCAGTTCAAACTCAAGATCAATGTGGAAAGGAATTCAGAAGACATATCCTTTGTTGATAAAAGTTTTCAAATACATAATCGATGGCTCTCTAATTTGTTTCTGGAGAGATCCCTGATTTTATGGCAGGGCCTGAATGAAATCCTTCTACACTTCTTTGGAATGCAAGGAGACTTTTGTGGTGGAAGCCTACAAAATGAACAGCGCTATGCCAATCTGGATCTTACATTTAGTAAGTTAGGGTGGCTGTGTGCTGATCTGTATGGGAAGAGAGGAACTCTAGAGTTTTTTCAGACAAGGAAAGATCTATGGAGAACTTAACTGAATTGATACACTTAAGGGTTAGTCACTGGCTGAAATCTTTGGAGCTTTTTTCAAATTTCTCCATTGCTGATCTTTTGAGAAAGTGGAAAGAAATTGCTACCTCAGCTCAGTGCAAAAGGACCTCTAGACCTTCTTGGTCCCCCCCTCCTTCAGGATTCATGAAACTGAATTTTGATTGTTGTAGTTTAAGGAACCCTGGGCCTTCTGGGATTGGGGGAGTTTTCAGAAATGAGGCTGGGGTTATTAATGCTATGTTCTCTGGCCCCATGGAGAGGGTGACTCTCTTAGGGCAGAGATTTTAGCAGCTCTGGAAGGAATCAAAAGAGCAAGAGAATTAAACATTCGGTGCTTGGTCATTGAAGGGGACTCGGAGGTGGTAATTAGGTGGTTGAAGGAAGACAGCAATGGTTTGTGGAGCTAAAGAAATGAAAAGAAAAAATTTAAATGGCTGAGTAGGGATGTTGAGGTGAAGTACAGCTGGGTGAAGAGAAGTGCCAATTCCATGGCTGATGGGTTAGCCAAGCAAGGGGTGCTTAAGGATTCTTTGTTTTGGGCCATTTTTTATCTTTCTTTCTTGTTCTCTGTTGTGGGGGAGTTTAAGATATTTTACCTCCCCTTTCTTGTACTTAATTTCACAACTTTTATAATCTAATAAAGCATTCTGTTATTGATCAAAAAAAATCCAACATTTAGTAAGAGGTTGAATGATTTTTAGAGGTCAATGAGGTTGTTGATATGCTCCAACAAATCCATAGAAACCCTCTAAGTCACCAATCTCAAGATATAATGGTTTATGAGACAAGTCCTAGAACTTCCCACTAATGTATCTTTTTCAAACAGATGGTGCCTTTTCCTTTATAAAAATATATGAGAACACTCAGCTTCAACATAAGGTTTCTTTCAACATAAGGCTTCAACATACGATATGGGGCGTATCGTATCGATACTTTGAACCTTGATCCTGCGAACCCATTGCACTTTCTGTCCCCATGAAATGGAATCAGCAAATCACTTGTTGCAGTGCCTATGTCAGTGTTGCCCACAAACAGTTCAGGAATTGTTAGCAGCATGAAGAATCAAAGGCCATAGTAAGAAAGGAAAGGTATCTTGGAGTATCCTTCCTCAACTTATAATCTGGATGATATGGAATGAAGGGATTAAGGGAACATAAGAATCTTTGGCGAAGGACACTCTGGAGGAATAAGTGCTTACGAAGGCTGTGGGAATGACAGTTTTGGCTATTAGTACACAATAGTTTCAGGGATATGTCCCATAACTTATACTTCACTCACGATACACTTGTGCAGAGATAGGAGTTGAAATTCATTTTCTCTTTTGTTTTTTTGGGGCTGAAACTTCCCTGTATGACTTCTCACTATGTATGAACTATATTTGTAATATTTGCACACACACGAACCATACAACTACCTTACCATTTCATAAAAATAATAAATAAAAGAGACAAAATGTAGATATCCTTAGAAACCTTGAGAAGAAAATAAACTGATGTTGGAATCACCAAAGCTCCAGTTGCAATTACTGCATCCAATTCCCTAGAAAGCAATATCTGCATATATCCAATAATAAGTCACTGTAACGATAACATGGTATAGATATATTTTTTAACAAGCCACAAAATTATTTAATGAAATGAAAAGATAAAAAAAGCATGTCTTGGAGGTGAAAATTCACATACTTAATAGTTTAGTCCCATGTGCAACCCAACCACATTCAATTTCCCAGGCTTTAGATATAACTATATAAGTATTGAGACTGTGAGACAGGGATTATGTGGTATATGAAAACAAAATGTCAGCTTCACTGGATAAACAAAATGGTGAACTTGTGAAATATGAAAACCTGCCAGTAATTGGCAACCACATGGATAACCTACACAATGGAATGATTCATTTATTTACTATTAATCACTTACCGGAGAAAGAGCATAACCTTGTATCCTCCAAAATTTCCTTTCCCTATTTTACTTTTAAGGTATTTTTATTTGCTAGTTTCTCTTTACTAATAAACTTCAATGCAATTGCACCTTTTTTGATAAATAACAGGTTTTATTAAACAAAGCATATACAAACATACATACATACAAAGGTGGAGAAAAGAAGAGAAGAGTTATGAGTGGTGTATCTTGTTAAAGTTGCCCTTACTTGGGAGCCCAAGTACAAATGAAAGGAAAAACCCAAAATACCCTTACAACATATTGCATATTCTCAACACTCCCCCTCAAGCTGAGCATAAATATCTATCATGCCCAACTTGCCTAGGTTATTGTCCAATTTCAACCTGTGAACACCTTCAGTAAGGCAGTCAGCAAGTTGACCATAAATGGGCAGGCAAATTTCTCCACTATTATTCGGCCAACCCATCCATATAATGATTTCAGTTACAAAATATCTCAACCAACTCTGAGCTCTCATAACAAACTCTGAGCTCTAACGAATTCATGTGGATGGACCAGTTGACGTGCTGCTCGCTGCAGTCGAGTGCTGCTTGCATGCCTTCTTTCTCAGGTAGGGGCAGGTAAGTGGAGGTCTAGGCCTCGGGTTTGGGTCTGGGTCTTGCTTCCCAACAGTACCCCCTTCCTCAAGATGAGCCTTGTCCTCAAGGTCCAAATCGGGAAACTGATTTTTGAGCTGCCAATATGGTTTCCATGTGGAGTCATGGAGGGGAAGCCCAGTCCAGGCTTCTAAAGCTTCCTTCACTATGTTCTTCCCGCGATGGACCCAGCGGTAATCCAATATCTTGGCGGGTGTGAGGGTAATACCTCCTTACTCTGTAAATGTTGCAAGGTCGCTGCTAACTTTGGTCATGTCCCCCACTGACTTCTTAAGCAAGGAGATGTGAAAAACCGGGTGGAGGCAAGCTGTTTTGGGAAGGTCCAGTCGGTAGGCAACATTGCCTATCTTCTCAATTACCTTGAACGGCCCAAAGTAGCGAGGGGAGAGCTTATGCCAGGCCCTTTTTGCTACTGAGGACTGTCGGTAGGGCTGCAGCTTGAGGTAGACATAGTCCCCCACCTGAAAGTCAACGGCCCGATGTTTCTTGTCATACTACCTCTTCATGAGTTGTTGGGCCTTGTGCAAATTCTCCTTCAGAAGGCTAGGTACCTCATCTCGTGCCAGCAACTGGGTTTCAACTTCAACTACTGCGGTTGAGCCCATTTCATATGGGAGGATGTGGGGTGGATCCCTTCCATACACAGCTTTGAATGGTGTCATACCTGCTGCCGCCTAGAATATAGTGTTGTACCAGTATTCGGCCCATGGAAGTCACTTTGTCCAGTGTTTGCGCTTGGAACCCACAAAACAGCGTAGGTAAGTTTCCAAGCATCTATTCAGTACTTCAGTCTGTCCGTCGGATTGGGGATGATAGCTAGTAGATCAATGAAGCATGGCTCCCTGTAAACGGAAATACTCCTTCCAGAATTGACTGAGGAAGGCTGGATCCCGATCTGAGACGATTGATTTAGGAGTACCATGAAGTCTTACCACCTCTTTGATGAAGGCTTCAGCTACTGATGCTGCGGTGTAGAGATGGGATAGGGCGATGAAGTGCCCATACTTAGAGAGCCTGTCGACTACCACCAAAACCACCGTCTTGCCCCCAGAGGATGGAAGACCAGTGATAGAATCCAGGTATATGTCTTCCCAAATTTGGGATGGAATTGGAAGGGGTTGCAGAAGCCCAGGGGGAAATTGGGTCGAGTATTTTTGTTGTTGGCATACGGTGCACTGCTACGTGTTGCTCGACTGCCTTCCTCATGTTGGGCCAATAAAAATGTGAAGATAACCTCTTATATGTCCGGAGAACATTTGAATGTTCGCCCAACACCGAATCATGATAGAGCTCTAGTAGTGTCTTCTGATGTGCTGAGGTAGGAGAGAGGACAAATCTTCCTTTAAAGAACAAGTCTGGTCCCTTCATGGTGTACCCTGGTGTGGAGGTGGGGTCCTGTAAATATCCTTGCCACAGCTTTTCGAGGCTAGGGTCATTCCTGGCCTCCTCTCGCAGAGCATCAAATAGAGGGTAATGGGGCTGAGAATGTACTAACAGTGACAAATCAGCCTTCCGAAACAACGCATCTGCCGCCCTGTTGGTAATTCCAAGCTTGTATTCAATTAAGAAATCAAAGCCCATCAATTTCATTATCCACTTCTGCTGATATGGACTGCCATCAGTTCCTTTGTGTATGTTGACTGATTCTAGGGCTCTAGCGGAGAGGGCCTTGCTGAAATAAGATATGGGCCTTCCATTTTGCATGAGCACCACTCCAACTCCCACACCTGATGCATCACATTCAACCACAAAGGTCTCTTCGAAGTTTGGTAACATGAGGACTGGTGGGCTGATCATGGCCGGATTTAGAGAATAAGCTTTCTGGGCCTGCTCCGTCCAAACGAAGCAGTCCTTTTTGAGAAGTCCAGTGGGGCTGCTAGTGACCCATGGTTGCATATGAATCTCCGGTAGTAGCTAGTAAGGCCCAAAAAACCGCATAGGGCTTTGACTGTTTTGGGCATGGGCCAGTCTTGAATACAATTTATTTTTTCTGGGTCAGCCATGACTCGTCCCACTGCAACCACATGTCCCAAATAATGGACTTCAGTTTGCCCAAAAACGCATTTTGAAAGCTTGGCAAACAGTTGATGCTGTTTCAGCAAGCTCAATGTTTGTTCCAAGTGTTGAAGATGGGAATTCCAATCCTTGTATACCAAAATGTCATCAAAGAAGACCAAGATAAAGCGCTGGAGGTAAGGCCTGAAAACATCATTCATGATGGCCTGGAAGGTAGAAGGGGAGTTGGATAGCCCAAATGGCATAACTAGAAACTCATTGTCCATCATGGGTTCTGAAGGTTGTCTTGTATACATCTTCGGAGTGGACCCGGACTTGATGATAGCCGGACCTAAAGTCCAATTTGGAGAAATACTTGGCTTGTCCCAGCTCATCTAATAACTCATCCACAACCGGAATCAAGAACTTATCCTTGACTGTGATATGGTTCAGGCACCGGTAATCAACACAAAAGCGCCAGGTCCCATCTTTCTTTTTTACAAGAAGCACTAGGGACAAAAATGGGCTTGTACTAGGTTGTATCCATCCCTTATGCAGGAGCTCCTTCACGAGCTTATCAATCTCAGTTTTTTGGAAATGTGGGTATCTGTAGGGCCGCACATTAGTTGGGGCAGCCCCTAGAATAAGAGGTATTCGGTGGTCTTGGAACCGGCTTGGATGGAGCTGGTCTGGGTCTCTAAAAACCTCTGGAAATTGGCCTAGCACCTTTTGTATATCTTCCTGGTCCTTCTCAGATGAATGGACCTCATTTACTAGCTTTAGTAAAGGCCCAATAGGGACTGGGCTAATCTGCATCAGCAGGTGTTCTCCTCCTTCCCCCCCTCTTGGCATGGAGTGTAGACCTTCCTCTATTGGGTTGGGTAGCTCCTAACCTCGCAGATGGCAGCGGAGTCCATCACAATAGAAGTCCATGGTCATGTGTCCCCAATCACAAAGGACCAGGCCCAGTTGGCTCAGCCATTGTGCACCCAACACTACTGCCCCGCTGAAATCCAACGAGTGCAAGTCCACGATGAAGGTGTGGTCTTGGATTATCAGCTTTTCATATTTGCAAATACTTTCACATTCAATGTGGTTACCATCCGCCATTCTAACAGCAAAAGGAGAGGTGTAGAGAACTGTCATACCTAATTGGCGTGCCAATAGTTGTGTGATGAAATTCAGTGTGCTCCCCCTATCTATGAACATGGATACCCATCGGCGTCGGCCCCTGAGTTTCCCTTCAACCCTCATAGATTTGGGGGATGCCAGCCCTGGTAAAGCTTGCAAAGAGATCCCAGGGTTGTCATATTGAGTCAGGTTCGGTTCCTTTTCCTCCTCAACCATCTCCTCCTCCTCACATTCCTGCCCAGTCTCCTCCCATTGCAACAAAAACATCCGCTGGGTTTTGAATCGGTGGCCAAGCCCAAGCTTCTCATCGCAGTTGGCACAGGCCCTTCTCGTGTCGAGCCTGCATTTCGGCCTAGGAAAGGCGTTTGAAGGGGACTAGGCTCCTGATTGGCGGTGTGGGTCCCTAGGTGGGCCGAGAGGTTTCCCTAACAGTTCGGCTGGGTTCTGTCATGGGCCGAGGGAGAAGCCCAACTTGGCGGGCCGAGGTTTTTAACGGGGGCCCGAAAAGTCGAGTCGTCACCTTAGTCGGTCGAGACGCTCTTCTTGCAGCCTTGCCAGTCCCACCGCCGTAGACAGAGAAGTGGGCTAAAGAGCCTCCACCTCTACTTTGATGTTGTCCCTCAGTCCTCCAACAAAGCAGCCGACCAACGCCTTCTCCAGCCACCCATATACTTTGGTGGCTGGCCGTTCAAACTCAACTTGGTAGTCTCTCACCATTCCCGTCTGCCTTACCTNTCTGTCATGGGCCGAGGGAGAAGCCCATCTTGGTGGGACGGGGTTTTTAACAGGGGCCCGGAAAGTCGAGTCGTCACCTTCCTTAGTCGGTCGAGACGCTCTTCTTGCAGCCTTGCCAGTCCTGCTGCCGCAGAC